TAGCCCCCCCATAGCGGCGCTGGGGTCCCAAAACCAAAGCCTCAGTCGCCCGCTAGACATGCTAGCGTCGATAGCATAGTTCTCTTAGCGGTGCTAAGGGTAGCTAGCAGCGCTAAGGCCTGAATCTTCACATCTTTGCAGTTTTGGAGCGGCTATTGACCTTCGGTTGACTCGTGAGGTCACGAATAATGTCTTTCGGGTACTGCCCAAAATGAAAACTCGATTTCTGCCTGTTTGGGTCGTACGAATGACATGGAACTCCTACGAACCGGAACGGAATATTGCTCTCGTATGTGCTCAACAACCGGTCGAACATGATACCTGAAACCAACACAATCGGAAAAACACGAAATACAAGGAAAATTGAAAGAAAACAAAGAAAATACCAAAAACACCAAAATGAAGATAAAAATACGAGAAACGACTAGAAGGTCCGAAAAACCCTACAAAACGACTTAAAACGGGGAAAAAGACACACAAAATACCAACAAAATAGCAACGAAAAGGGGCAAACAAGTATCTGAGGGTGAAAGGGGAAAACTCGATGGGGATAGGGTGTTGTTCGGGTTTAATGAGAGAAGTAGAATTTGAATATGGTTCGTACTGAAGAAGCGGAGAAGAAGAGAAGGGGAGAGCCTTGTAACCAATGAAACGACCAAGGATGAATGAGAGAGTTATGGGCCAAACGTTTCTAACTTTTAAATCTCTTTTGAATCTCTTATTTAATTTCTTCTTATTTTATTTTTTAAATTCTTATGATAATACTTATTAGGTTACTAATAAAAATATTAGCGATAATATAATAATAATAATAATAATAATAATAATAATAATAATAATAATAATAATAATAATAATAATAATAATAAGGTTAATAATAATAATAACATAATTGGCTAAATTTATTTAAATGATAAAATAGGATTTTAAAACATGCTTAACTTAATCAAATGAATCATGCTTGATTAATGATGATAATAATAATAATTATACAAGTGATTTTAATTAAAATACATGAAAAGGACGTTTTGAAAACCAGAACTTTACAGTAAATCTTTGCAAGGCAGATGTGGGACACTTGATGAAAATAACAAGAGAGCTCATCAATGATGTATCGTTGACTGAGGTGAGGAGAAAGTTTCTAATGGAAAAGATCAAAGTTTTCAAATGGAGATTGGCGAGATTGATGAAAACAAATGCATGAGCAAGAAATTAAGTAACAACAAAGGCCTGAATACATTTTTTCTATGCGACCCCGGTATATACAAACTAAAGGTTATGGCAAGCATCTAAAGTCGAGTAAAGAGAAAGCCATGTGTCAAAGTGCTCGATCTTGTAGTTTGTGTGAGTAGAGGGGCCTTGACAAGCACAAATGTCTCAATTATAGCTTCATCTTAAAAATGATCCATATCGTCTAGACATGTCAAAAGTGACAAATTCCAGTTGCTCTGATACTTAAAATATTATTTTAGTAGTTAGTCATTTTTTAGATGAATGATTTTACTTTTAATTAGACATTAATTTACCTTTGTTACTTTTTAGTATTTTTATTGTTGCTAAAATTATCTGCAGTATTTTATTTTATTTTATTTTTTTTTTTCATTTTTTCCTTATCTAGATAATGTTTTCGTTCATATTTTATAGTTTGTGCTGCATTTTTTAATCTTCTGATACGAAATGCGTCCATAAAAGGAAAGCAAGCAGTTTGGTTTTGTAAGGTGGTTAAATAGTGTGAGAAAATGGTTCCATAATAGTTTATCTTCCAATTCCTTCAACTTCAAGATTTTCTACTGTCTTTATACCTATTTTTTGGGTGCTGCTTGATGTACCCATGTTTACAACGTTAACACATTATTGTGGGGAAAATTTCAAAACTAGTCCCATAGGTATAAGGGGTGATATTTTTAGTCCCAACGGAATCCAGAAAATATTAATAGTCCCGCAGCTTTTAAAAAATAATCAAAAGTAGGACTTTTTCAATTTTCCAGATCGGAAAGCCACGACGCACACACGTGGCAGGACTATTTAGTATTTTCTGGATTCCGTTGGGACAAAAAATGTCACTTCCCACAGGTACCTGTGGGACTAGTTTTGATTTTTTCCATTGGCATTGTACTCAACCACGTCAGATGAATGTGACCACGTGTGTACGACGTGGCATTCCGGGCCGAAAAATTGAAAAAAATCTTACTTTTGATCATTTTCTAAAAACTGCGGGACTATTAATATTTTCTGGATTCCGTTGGGACAAAAAATGTCACCCCCTATACCTTGGGACTAGTTTTAAATTTTTCCCATTATTGTGTATTTATCTAGCTTGCATTTAAAAATGATTGGTGCATGTTGTGATTTCCCTTAAAATGATAAGTTTCACTTTCACTCTTTTGCAGTGAACACTTTCTTCCCGTCTTTGGTCATTTTCCCATAAGTGTCTTTCGGTTATTACCATATATATATATATATATAGGGGCATATTAAATGAGGTCAGCTCTTAAAATGAGGTCAGCTCTTAAAATGCGGACAACTAACCTAGCACAATCAAACAACTAACCTAGCACAATCAGACTACTAACCTAGCAGCATCAGACAACTAACCTAGCAACTGCAGAGACTATGCATTTTTTAATTTTTTTTTCAATTGGTACATAAAATAGAGGTTGAGAGCATTGTTATGAAAAAAAAAAACTTCGAAAAATGAGTCTCGATTGGGGAGATATAGAGGTTTAAAAATACAAAAAAACGTATTTTTTTCTTAAAATTGAAATTAAAGCAAGAAAAAGGCCTTTTTTGAAAATTCGGGCGGCCAAACCGCCTTTGACAGTTTGCAGCTGCGTAGATCTCATCGATCTACCCCAAATAAAAAAAAAATTGTCCAAAACAGAGCTTTCTACGCAAAGTTATGGCCTTTCAAAGTTTTGATATGTGATCCTGCAAATTTTCATCATGTAGTTGCAACTACAAACAACTAACCTAGCACCATCAGCCAACTACACTAGCAGAATCAGACAACTAACCTAGCACCATCAGACAACTAACCTAGCAACTACTAACATAGCACCATCAGACAACTAACCTAGCACAACCAGACAACTAACCTAGCACAATCACACAACTAACCTAGCACCATCAGAAAACTAACCTAGCACCATCAGAAAACTAACCTAGCACCATCAGATAGCAGCAACAGACGGACATAACAACACAGACAGCAAAATGCTCTCCGTTCTCTCTACAATTCTCTCTCTACCGTACCCATTTTTTCCGTTCACCGCTTCCCTGTAACTATGCCGCGGACCACCCCCCCGGTGTCGAACCCATCGGCACCAGCCTTCCTGCCGGCAACATCCCT